CCCCGTCCCGGGGGCGAGCCACCAAAAGTGCCCGCCCGCCTGGACGGAAGGGTCAGGCAGCACGCTCAAAAGCAACCTCTTACGGACTTCCAGGAGGAGGTCAGGCACAATGTCAACGCCATGTATTCCTAAGGGGATTTCCGGCCCAGTGTCAACCCCATGTATTCCTATAGGGATTTTTGGGCAAAATGTCAGCCCCATGTATTCCTGTGGGGATTTTAAGGCACAATGTCAACCCAGGCATAGCACCAGCACGCTGGCCAGGCCCCACATCAACCTGAGTGGCTTCCCCAGCATCATGTCAACCCAGGCATGAGCAGCGGGCTCCTCCAGCCCCATGTCAACGCAGGCATTTCAATGGCAGGTCCCTCCAGCGTGCCAACAAGAGGCCGTGCCCCTCACTCTCCCTGCCTCCTTCCCTTCTCCCCACCTTACCTTTCCTACCTACCTACAGCCAGACCAGACTGATTGCACCTGATCCTGTCCAATCTTGGAAGCTAAGCAGTGATGAGTCTGGCTAGTACTTGGATGGGACTGCCTGGGAATCCTGTACGCTACCTGCCTTTTTGCGCCCAAGCGGGACGGGGCTGGCCCTGCCCTAGCCCGGGCCTGAGAAGTGGGCTCCAGCCCCAGACCAGCCACCCGCCTGGAAAGCCTTGGGAGCACCACCGTGTGGAGTGGATGGAGCTGCCTCCGAGTCCGCCTGCAAGCCTCTGCTTGCTGCTCCCCCCTGCAGCCTGTGGCAGGCCTCCAGGAAGGGTCTTCCTGGCTCGGCAGGGCTGGTCAAGGTGCCTGGAGGTGGCAGGGCCTGGCAGGCGCCTGCCCCCAGGCTCCAACAGGTAACAGCTAGCTGCAGTGCATGGAGTCGGTGGAGCCAGACCCGAGTCCACCAGGCAAGCCTCCGGCCCGCTGCTCTGCCCTGGAGGCTGCGGCGGGCCTCTGGTGTGGGCCTGCCCAGCCCAGCAAGCTTGCCCGAGGCCCCTGGGGGCAGCAGGGCCCACCAGGAGCCTGCACCGGGCTCCGGGAATAACTGTGAGTGCAGCGTGTGGAGTGGATAGAGCCGCCTCCGAGTCCACCAGGCAAGTCTTCAGCCTGCTGCTGCTCCTCCCCCACAGCCTCTGGGAGGTGGGTGCCTGGCCCGGCAGTGCTGCCTGAGGCGCCTGGGGGCAAGGGGAACTGGGGAAGTGTGGGGGGGGGCAGTGAAAGATGGAGGCTTAAGCCTGGGTGGGGGGGCACTTTCTGGAGGCCTAAGCCTGGGTGGAGGGGGGCACTAGTTGGAGGCTTAAGCCCCTGGTGGTTGTGCAGGTCCTGTGTCTGCACCCTTGGTACTTGATTGAGGGTGGAACCCCAGGTGGCAGGAATTCTGGGCACCAGGTCAACCCAATGCATTCCTATGGGAACTTTCAGACCCC